AAAACACTATGAAAGTGTAAAAATAGGTTTTAATACCAGAAATACTTTGTACAAAAATATTACCAGCAATAAATCTTTGAAGAAAAAAAATCATTACCAGCAATACACTTTTGAAAAAAATGTTACCAGAAATAGATTTTTTGAAGGAAAAAATATTATCAGAAGTAGATTTTTTTTGTCGGAAAAAATATTACTAGCAACACATTTTTGGAAAAAAAAAATTACCACCAATAAAAATTTGTCAGCATTAAATAACCCATTGAGGTTGATATGCCATAAAACAAAACAAACCTGATATGTCCCAGAAAGGGATATATTTGTTCGAAGTAGCAAAGTGGTTTTGGACTACTGTAACCGAGTAGAACAATCTAGCAGGTAACTGTAATGGACTGGTCCTCATCGTAGTGGTAGGCAATAGGCAAAGACAATAGGCGTCCAATAGGTGTTCTCTTGTACCTCCACATCAGTCTGTATTTATGGTTGACACCAGCCAATCATATTACTGTGAGGGGGAACCCAGGTGTATGCAATTTCATTACATCAAAACCAAACCAAACCAAACTATTTTACCCAGAGATGAAAGGGGAAGATATGGTTTCATACCAAGGACATTAGTGTGAAGTGAACTGAAGTCATGACTGAAGTTTGAACCCAGCACAGTCAGATCCATTTTCCATTAACTGCTATGACACCCACACATAAAAAACAGAACAGTTATGTAAATATATATATTTATATATTATTACCTAAATATAAAAGTGAACATAGAAGTCAACACTTAGAGGCGACAGTCTGTTTCATGCTAGATGTAATCGTCAGGCCATGATTGCATCTAGCATGAAACAGACTGTCGCCTCTAAGTGTTGACTTCCATGTTCACTTTTATATTTACACACGCTCTATCTCTGATATTGAGCCCATTATCCCATAAATATAGCACACGTTAAGACTATATTTCTTCATATATTATTACCTATATATATATATATATTTATTCATTGGTATATAATCCAAGTGAATCCTAATAATATAAAATATTAAAACTGATCCACAAAAAGAGCTCAATGTATTTATTATAACAGAGCATATAATTTACATAGAATAGAAATCCAAAATTACCTCATGAAATATATTGGAGATCAATGTGTTTTAGTGGACTCAGCAGTTTTCAATCAGCTTGTCTGAATCATCAAGAAGCGAGAACAAGATCTAAAATGTCAGGCAATCTAAAAATCTCATCCCACAATCCTTACTCTTGCAGCCTCCTTTGTAAATCACTAGCGGATCTTAAGTGCCATTTAAGATTATCGCACAAAATTTCATAACTGAATGAATTAAGTTGTCAGATCCTCATATGTCGAAACCAACGGGAAAGTCCATTATTATTATTATTATTATTATTATTATTATTATTATTATTATTATATACCTAGTGTAACACCAAAATTGTACATTTGTTAGATTAAGCTTTGAACTGTTGTATCTTAGAAATAATTAAAAATATCTTACTGGAATTCTCTGAGGTTTTTATAACACAATTGGGATCTACCTTGAGCAATAAGAAGCAATAAGAATGTATAATTACTCTCCAAGCTAAACAGAAGAATCGTGATGAAATCACTCATAAACAAAAATGACATGTTCATCATTAATTAATCATAGCTAAGGATCAGAAGCTTATTAAGGATTGAAATAAAGATCAAACATATATATATATATATTATTTCAGGATCATTTTCCAACTTATTCAAGATGATCTTCACCGTCTAACCTTTCTAACCTCAGTTAGAATAAACATTAAAATCTAATGTGGATGTAAAGCTTTGTTACAACTTAGATACACTGGAAGTGGCGAGCTGGGCATATATATTTTATTTTTAATTTATTTTGTTTAAACATTATTTTTTATGAATACTCATTGTTATGAATAATCAAGAGTGGTCTCCCCTTGTTTCATTACTCTCCTCTTTGAGAGAGCTATTTCTGTTTACTGGGACTATAAAAGGAGACAATACACGAACAGTGTATTCTCAGTTGAATAAAGCTTTCTTAAAGCCTACACCTGCGTACTTTTGTCATTACACTTATATTTGAATCCTGCCAGAGGACGTACATTTTTCTGACAAGATTTCTTGAATATTTATGCTGGTAGATGTAGTTGGATAAAAATGCTGTTTAAATAAAAAACTGTTATATACCATACCTATGAACATTAATGGTTATGTCCCCAACTTCATAAATACGTTGGACACTATTGTAAGTGGGGGTAATATGCTGTCTAAGTAGTCCACCACTAGCAGTGGTTTACCTACTTCATGCTGCTGGCGAGTATTGTATTTTGTTGATGTTATAAAGATTACCATTTCATTTCCAACATCTGTATTTTGGACATTCTTCATTTAGTAACTTTTACTAGGTTACAGCAAAAACAGGCCTTCTATGCAAATATGAGTATCCATCAAACATAATGTTTAAACAAAGTAAATCAGAAATAAAATTTGTCAGATTCAATCCATTTCCTAATATATATATATATATATATATATATATATATATATATATATATATATATATATATATATATACATATATATACATATATACATATATATACATATATATATATATATATATACATACACATATATATATATACATATATATATACATATATATATATATATATACATACATATATATACATATATACATATACATATATATATATATACATATATACATACATACATATATATATATATATATATATATATATATACATATATATATATATATACATATATATATATATATATATATATATATATATATATATATATATATATATATATATATATACATATACATATATACATATATATACATATATATATATACATATATATATATATATATATATATATATATACATACATATATATACATATATATATATATATATATATATATATATACATATATATATATATATATATATATATATATATATACATATATATATACATATATATATATATATATATATATATACATACATATATATATACATACATATATATATACATATATATATATATATATATACATATATATATATATATATATATATATATATACATATATATATATATATATATACATATATATACATGCATATATACACACATATATACATATACATATATATACATATATACATATACATATATATATATATACATATATATATACATATATATATACACACATATATACATATATATATATACATACATATATATACAAAAATATATATACAAATATATATATATATATATACATATATATATATATATATATATATATATATATATACATATATATATATACATATATATACATATATATATACAAATATACATATATATACATATATATACATGCATACATATATATATACATACATACGTAAATATATATACATATATACATACATATATATATATATACATATATAAATATCATAACAACCAAGATGAGTAGACTCATTTAAAAATATAACATAACAACAACAATAATAATCTTACGTATTATTAAACGCAGATTGTGTGTGTGTGTGTGTCTGTATGCTTATATATTGGATCGGATTTCGTACATTTTTCAACCGATTTCAACTTCACAGGACTACATAAAATTACCTTGCGGTGGTTCTAACAGCGCCAAAAATTGGAAAAACACAATTGTTTTTGCACAAAATCAATTTGAAAACACGATTAAGAGGCATCATGAGAATGAAAGGGAGACACCTCAAATCGAGTTATACTTATAAAACCCAGGTTTGTGTGTGTGTGTGTTCGTTTATATATGGTATCGGATTTCCTACATTTTTCAACGGATTTCAACAAAACTTCACTTTTTTTTGGCAGGTAGTGTTTCTTATTGTCTTGCACACTTTTTTTTCTTTATTTTTACATTCAGAATGCTTTAAAACTTCCATTTACAAGACAATTGTTTATAATAAAATTCTATTCAATCGGTAGACTCATAACGATTGAAAACAATGTTTTTGTTTGTGTTTGGGTTTGACCAATTTGTAAAAAAAAACAAAAAAAAAACTGCGTGTCTGTCAACCTTAAACAATAATCTTTGTCAATTTTATTTTTCAGTTTTTATGATGGTCGATACTGCTAGTAAGCGTATAAATGACAACATGACTGGATCCGTAAGAGAATCCATTAGGAAGTACAACATAAACTTGGTTTCAATGTTGGAAAAGGTGGTATGAATATCGGTCAGAATTAGTGGCAGAAAATGACAGTCACAAGATATGAGTTTTCTCTGTTCAGACAGATCATGTCATTGAAGCTTGTCATGTCATTGACCTTATTGTGATAGAGAAGGAAAGCAGCAAATGTCAAATTATTGATTTTTTTCTGTTCCATGCAATACAAAAGTGGACACCAGAGAAACTGGTTGAAAAAAAAAGTAGTTCCAGTAGTAATGTGTGCACTTGGAACACCACCAAGAAAATTAGGAGAGAAAAATTGGGGAAATTGAAATTGAAACCAAAATTGTAGACCACCAGAAAACTGTCAGTTTCACATGGAAACACTGGTTCCATATGATCACCAAAGTTAAGCAACATCGTGCCTGGTCAGTACCTAGATGGGTGACTGCTTGAGAATATGGGAATAATGCAGTAAGTTTGGATATGTATGTAGTGTAATGATTAATGACTGGGAGTTGTTTATCAAAGAGCTGAGTTCCAATTCCCATTGGGTTCGTTATATTCAGTTATGAAAAAATACCTTTGGGAAACGTATGAATTCACCTCTTCTCCCCACAGCTATGGATTAATTAGTAAGACTTGTATCACTAAACCATTATTATCACAAAAAAAGAAAATAATTTTTTATATGCTGATTGAATTTTATTTTATTGCTTCTTCAATTTAGTTTTAGGTGAGATGGAAATTTATTCTTATATACTATATTGAACTTTTCCCATATGATCATTGAAGTTAAGAAATGTATAGCCTGGTTAGTATCTAGATGGGTGACCACTTGGGAATACCAGGTGCTGTAGGCTTGGATATGCAGGTAGTATAATGAATAATGGCTTGAAAATATTAATCAGGCAGCTGAGTTCCGTATGATCACCAAAGTTGAGCAACGTCAAGCCTGGTCAGTACCAAGATGGGTGACCAATTGTGAATGCCAGGTGCTGTAAGCTTGGATGTGCAGGTGGTGTAATGGATAATGACTTGGAATTATTAATTGGGGAGCCGAGTTTCCGTACAATCACCAAAGTTGAGCAACATCGAGCATGGTCTATACCTATATGGGTGACTGTTTGGAAATACCAGATCCTGTATGCTTGGATGTGTGGGTGGTGTAATGGATAATGGCTTGGAATTATTAATCAGGAAGACGAGTTCCCATATGATCACCAAAGTTAAGCAACATCGAACCAGGTCAGTACCTAGATGGGTGACTGCTTGGGAATACCAGGTGCTGTGAGTTTGAATGTGCAGGTGATGAGATAGATAATGACTCAGAATTATTAACTGGGGAGCTGAGTTACTGTACAATCACCAAAGTTAAACAACATTGAGCCTGGTTAGTACCTAGATGGGTGACTGCTTGGGAATACCAGGTACTGTGGGCTTGAATGTGCGGGTGATGTAATGGATTATGTCTCAGCGTTGTTAATCGGAGAGCCGAGTTCCTGTATGGCAGTTTGGAAAAATCACTCTGATCATTCTGATAAGAAATGAACTCCTGAATTTGTTGGTGAGGGCCTCAAACTCAACACAGAAGCCTGTATCAAGTGCTTTGAGGAGGTAGTGCTGCCCAGGGTTGAGAGGGTGGCTGCTGGAATACCGCATGTCTGGCAACAGGATTCTGCACCATGTCACACAAGAAGGAGAACTCAGTTATGACTGTCAGACAATTTCTGCAACCATATCACTCCTTATATCTGGCCACCTAACTCCCCAGAATGCACCCCCCCTTGATTATTATGTCTGAGGTGCAATGAAGAATGAGAGAGAGAGTAACAAAACTCCTTGTAACACTAATAATGAACTGAAGGCAAGGATTATGGCAGCATTCACCAACATAAACAAAGAGACTGTCCAAAAGACTTGCAGGAGATTCTGAAGTCATCTGGAGGCTGTGGTTGAAGCCAATGGTGATTTTATTGATTAAATTTACTCTTCAGTATTTCAAGATATTTTTGTGAAAGTTTGGTAAAGATATATGTTAAAATGAGACGTCAGTGTTATTTTCATTTTTGCGTAATTTGGATGACAATTTCTCCATCACATCCTGTATAGCCTCCACCATTGTGATAGATGTCTGTTGATCCTACAAGGTTCATCAAGTTTTGTTTTTAATCCTTCTAGGTGTCCAGCTACACTCTTCATCAGAAAAGCCTGGTGGGGAAACTGGTTTTGTCACTGATGACATAGCTGTGTGGCAGGTAGTACTGTATTATATGGTATCAATAGCACTCATAGTAGGGCATGAGATAAGTATTAACTAATGCACCAATATATCAGAGGTGAAGGGTGACTTTGAAACTGAGGTCAATGATGACTGTTCATCATACAAGAGAAATCTGAGAAAATGATAAAATCAATAATGAAATATTTAAAAAATTTTTCATTTCTAAATTAATTTAATTCTTTTTTTTCAGATTCATCAATCAATATCTTATAGTGGTGTGACAAAGGGAAAGCCAATGGTTGAAAAATAAGACCTCCAGCTGACCTGATTGGCCATAGGTGTAGCCATAAGTTCTCCAGCTGACCTGACTGGCCATAGGTGTAGCCTTAACAACTCCAACTGACCTGACTGGCCATAGGTGTAGCCTTAAAATAAGACCTTCAGCTAACCTGATTGGCCATAGGTGTGGCCTTAACAACTCCAGCTGACCTGACTGGCTATAAGTGTATCCTTAAGACCTCCAAATGACCTGGCTGGCCATAGGTGTATCCTTAAAATAAGACGTTCAGATGATCTAACTGGCCTTAGGTCTAGCCTTAAAATGAGACCTTCAGCTGACCGAACTGGCCATAGGTGTAGCCTTAAGTTGTCCAGCTGATCTGACTGGCCATAGGTGTAGCCTTAAGACCTCCAACTGACCTGACTGACCATAGGTATAACTTCAAAATAAGACCTTCAGTTGATCAGACTGGCTATAGGTGTAGCCTTAAGACCTCCAACTGACCTGACTGGCTATAGGTGTAGCCTTAAGACCTCCAACTGACCTGACTGGCCATAGGTGTAGCCTTAAAATAAGACCTTCAACTGACCTGACTGGCCATAGGTGTAGCCTTAAGAACGCGAGCTGACTTGACTTGGCTATAGGTGTAGCCTTAAGACCTCCAACTGACCTGACTGGCTATAGGTGTAGCCTTAAGACAAGCCCTTCAGCTGACCTGACTAGCCATAGGTGTAGCCTTGAGTTCTCTAGCTGACCTAACTTGGCTATCGGTGTAGCCTTAAGTCCTCCAGCTGACCTGACTGGCCATAGGTGTAGTCTTAGGATCTCCAGCTGACCTGACTGGCCATAGGTGTAGCCTTAAGACCTCCAACTGACCTGACTAGCCATAGGTGTAGCCTTAAAATAAGACCTTCAGCTGACCTGACTGGCCATAGGTGTAGCCTTAAGACCACCAAGTGACCTGACTTGCCATAGGTCTAGCCTTAAAATGAGACCTCCAGTTGACCTGACTGGCCATAGTTGTAGTCTTAAGACTTTCAGCTGACCTGACTGGCCATAGGTGTAGCCTTAAGACCTCCAACTGACCTGACTGGCCATAGATGTAGCCTTAATACCTTCAGCTGATCTGACTGGAGCCTTAAGTTCTCCAGCTGACCTGACTAGTCATAGGTGTAGCCTTCTTCACCAGCTGTCCTGACTGGCCATAGGTGTAGCCTTAAATAAGACCTCCAGCTGAGCTCACTGGCTATAGGGGTAGCCTTAAAATAAGACTTCAGTTGACATGACTGGCCATAAGTGTAGCCTTAAGATAAAGCCTCCTGCTGACCTGACTGGCCATAGGTGCAGACATAAAATAAGACCGATTACATGCAACTAATGCCTTTGTGTTTTGTAATAAATTATGTAGAAATGTATCTGGATTAGATAGACTTGTAAAATCATATAATATCAACGATTAATCAGGGCTGGATTATCCTATAGGCTGCAGCCTAGGACACTTTTAAGCTTGGGAGAGATGTGTGGACAAGAAGCTTTAGGGTCCCTTCCAAAGGATTTTCAAATATAATTCTTTTTTTGAAAAATGAGTATAATATTTTGATATTTTGCATTTCCAGGAAGCAAAGTAAGGAAAAGAATGTTTTAGTTTTTGCCATTTTGTTTCAAGTAGATAACATGTTTGATTTTAGTTCAGAATTTTTAAACCTTAAACATTTTTATAAAGAAGTGGTTTTAATTTTCTATGGTACAGTAATGGATAGTGGCTTGGATTGAGGAATTGGAGAGCCAAGTTCAAATTCCAGTCGAATCCATTACATTCACTTACATGCTAACACCCTTGGGAAAGGTATGAATTCTCTTCTTCTCCCCCCAGCTATGGGTAAATAGCAAGACAGACCAGGTTCTGTAGGCTTGGATGACAACTGGTCTACCGCAAAAAGAAATGGCAACCTACTGCAGGAAAAAATCTGCCTCGTCAGTCATCTATCAAAAGATACATGATTACCTAAGCATGTATCACACATGGCACATAACTGACTGACTGACTGATTACTAATGATTTTACTATAGGAACATATTGAAAATGAAGAAGAGAGGGATTGTCAGTGGTCAGGAATGAAGGCAAGCATTACTGAGGGAATAGAGTATGTATAATGTAAATACCCTTGGAAAAGGTATGAATCCTCTTCTTCTCCCCCCAGATATGGGTAAATAGAAGGACAGAGCAGGTTCAATAGGCTTGGATGGCAACTGGTCTACTGCAGAAAGAAATGGCAACCTACTGCGGGAAAAAATCTGCCTCATCAGTCATGTATCAAAAGATACATGATCACCTATCAGACATGGCACATAACTGACTGGCATATTATAATGTCTAAATAGTTTTATAAACTGAAATTATATCAATATAACAAACATATTTATCTTGTTTTATTGTTATAATGTTGTTTATAAAATTTTTTTTTACTATGGCTGTGTTGAAATATGTACTAATTTGATTTGCAATAAATAGTAAAATAGTGATATTTCTTAAAGAATATTTTTATTGACAAACAAAAAAGATAGCTATTCTAGTTTATTTAAAGAATTTGCAATAAGTCTACTTCAAGCCTAGTAAATGTTGCTAAAATATATCATGAGTAAAACATATTCAAGATGGGTTTGGGTAAGTTGGAGGGTGGTTCCATAATTTCATTATAGTCTAGGTCCTGACTACAAGCCCAGCATGCCTTTTCAGTTCCTGTGTTAGAAATTGCTGTTAGTTTTTTTAGCAGCATATCAACTCCTTACGGGTCATTCAATGCCAAAATTTAATTTTCTTGTGTGCATGAGTACCTTATTTAACAAAAATGTATTTCTGGTAATTTTTTTACTATGAAAAATAAACTATATTGGTGTGACCAACAGACAACTTGCCAGAAGACCTAACAGCTTAGATAAGAAAAAAAAATCACAAACAAGAAAAGAAAAAAAAAGACCAAAAGGCAAAAAAAAAAAAAAAAAATACTACCTATGCAGTAAAATGCTCAACACCCAGATTATCTCGACAGAGCAAAAAACACTTCACATCAACATTTGCACAGCCCAAGTTGTTACTCAAGTTTCATACTCAAGTGATCTTCAGATGACTAGAACAGTTCCACAGTTGGGAGTCCATACAAACCTACCTATTGTTTGCCTTGTTAACTTTCAATAAGCACATTATCTTCAATTCACCATAGTTGGTAGCTTGTACTCCAAGCAGGATTGGATTATCCTTTAGGCTAGTATAGACTTCAGTGTAGGGCCCCTCAAGCTTTTATAAAGCAAAGATTTTAATTTTGTAAATGCTATAACTTCTACAGTTTCATAAACTGAAATGATATCAATGACAAACTCATTTTTTATTGTTATAAATTTTTTTTTTTAAATTATGGTCATGTGTTAATTTGGTTTGCAGTAAATAGTAAAATAGTGATATTTCTTAAAGAATATTTTTATTGACAAACAAAAAAGATAGCTATTCTAGTTTATTTAAAGAATTTGCAATAAGTCTGCTTCAAGCCTAGTAAATGTTGCTAAAATATATCATGAGTAAAACATATTCAAGATGGGTTTGGGTAAGTTGGAGGGTGGTTCCATAATTTCATTATAGTCTAGGTCCTGAATACAGGCCCAGCATGCCTTTTCATTTCCTGTGTTAGAAATTGCTGTTTGTTTTTTAGTAATATATCAAAATATATTAAAATATATTTAAAATATATCATGAGTAAAAACTATTCAAGATGAGTGCAGGCAAGTTAGACGGTA